ACATGCAAAGATATAATTTTATTACATTACATTTTATTCGTTACATTTTTGACTCTGTAGTTGCAATTCTGTGATTAAACTCACACACAGAATCGAATAAAGTTACAGCAATGTAAAAATTCTGGATCAGGATACAAGTTGAACGGCAACTGCGTTAGTCTTTATGTGAAGAATACTCAACTGGTCCGCAATAACTAAAGAATTAGAAAGGCCAATAAACTTAAACAAGAGATCAAGGTTCAAACATATATACAAAGATAGCATCATACTTGACCCTGTCGCATGGCTAGAGATGATTATGATTGAGGTATTACACGATAAAATATATAGCACGCGTATCAACGATGATATCGATTCTAGTTGAGAATTGATCGAGCGATTTGCTGCTTGCATAAGCGCGACCTTGAATCCGGAAGAATAATACATTAATGATAGACAGGAATAATATATATGAGATTTTATGTAAGAGTGAATCAATACCTCCTCCGTCCAAACTAATCTCTTTACCGTAGCGGATGGAAGAACGGTGATTTTCGAAAAAAAATATATAAGTAGCGTAATCGCGTGTTCGGCCTTTGCAGTCACGCGCCATTGTATCGCGGAAATCGCGAACTAGTCGCTCATATCGAAACGGAATCGCTCCGCTGTCCGTTGCTACTGCTCACGGGTAACGTGCACATGATGTTTTATGTTTAATTACGTATGCGTTAAAGATAGATGTAGATTTATATTTAGAAAATATATAGAACTTTTTTTAAATCAGTTGTATGTATTTTGATAAAACAAATACGTATCACTCTAGTCCTGAGAACAATCTCAAATACAAATTCTGAATTATAACAAGGTTGACCTCCCGATAAGTATAAATTAAAACTGTCATACAAAAAAAATTAATTACCTTTTTTTATGTACTGTTCCCAATAATAGATATCAGTTTTTTTTATTAAATTTAATTCTTTACGTCCTCAGTTTTATGTAATATTTAAAAGTTAGTAATATTATATATATATATATATATCGAAAATTATTGCTAAAGTTTTTGATAATTAAACTTTATAATTTTAATTAATAATTAATAAGATATATTTATTTAGTATAAAAGAAAAAATTTTGTTTAAATTTCCAATGCATTTTCCTTTACATTTTGCTTTATATTTTATATAATCTACTATAAATTTTTTTTTTTCATAAAAGGATGAAATATAAATTTTTGATAGGTAGAATTTTTTTTTTAAGACTCTTGAACTTTAAAATATAACATATATTATTTCGATATTATTTATTCCTAAATATGCAAAGTTATGAATTTTCAAAGATATTGTATAATATGTATCTCGAGAACGTAAAGAATCAATACATATTTCTATTTGTATAACTGTAAATATAAACTCGCTAAAATATCAGATATTTTGAAATAATTCTAATTTATAATTTTGATGTAGTCTAAATTAATATTTTAAGAAAAAACAAATCATGTATAAATCATAAAATTAAATTAAATTTCTTGACTACAAGCTTAAACTTATTTCTGAATACTTACTGAAAATTGAAATCGATTCAAATAAATAATGTTTCCTTATATACGTGTATTTCTTGTATTTCTTAAATTAAATAATTTATATTTAGTTATTTATTTATAAAACAAGTTTAGTAGAACTAAAATCGAGAGTGCTAGCTATCTTTAAAAATTCATTATTATAAACAATTGTTTGCTCCGATGTATACTTTTAATTTTTATGTACTTCTGAATGAGTAAGCATAACAAATTTGATTCATCAGCGCAAAAATTATCGATGTATCGCGCAATGCTAACCAACTACGCATGCAGAGTACGGGTTACACCATACGTAACGCTATTTGCGAAGCTTATCCGAAGGTCATCACCATATTATTCGCTCTGTATTCGCTATTCCGTGTCGCTGTCGTCACGTGGGGGCTCGTCTGGAGGCTCGACCAATCGCGTCATAGAAAGGCGAAACGGCGCCAGTACAGACGACCTCGTCGTCATTATACTTATTATTATCGTTTCTTTGAAGCTATAATGACCGCTTAGAGTTAGGTTGAAAACTTCTCAGAAAAGCGAAGTCTCGCGTGATTATCTCGGTATTTCTTGCAGAATTTTGGCTCCGTGATAGAATAAACACGCCTCCGACAGGGAGGTTGGGCGGTTAATGTGACGTCATTTTCGTCGCTCGTGTTATATTTCATGAGAGTATGTTTCTTCTTCGTACAACTGCCTCAGCTTTCGCGGAATCCGCAAGATATCTCGTGATCTTATAATCCCATCAGATCATATTGCACATGAAAATTGCATTTGATGAACATAATATACGGAATTCTTTAAAATTTTATCAAGAATCTTCCATGTACCAAAAAAATTAAGATATTGCTATTTGCTTTCGTTTATTTTTAAGTAAAAAAATTAAAACGTATAATATATATGTAAACGAAAATAAGCATTGTAATAAGCAATGCGAATAAATTTGCACTTTTTATCTAGGTAACAAAAAAATTAGAATATATTTAAAAAATTTGTGAATACGCGTTCGAGGACATTTTAGAAAGGAGGGCAAGTTCTAGAAAACCAAGATGTCTAATTTACTTATTGTAAAAGCTATAATAAAAAATAAAATTAGTAATTTATGACATGTTATTTAAACCATGTACTGTTATGCTACGCGAATTCCTTTCTATTTTTCTTCTTCTTTTCAAAATTCTAGTATTTTAATTAACATTTAATTAATTATTTTAAAAGTGACACAACTAAAACAATTAAATTTCACAGAAACAGAAAAGAACTATATTTCAAAATTTGATAGAAAATTATTGATCAAGTAATATTATAGTATAGCAAAAAGAGTGTATTCTTAGTGTGATCAAATATTATTTGTTATTTTTTTTCAAAACTGAAAACATCGCCCTTTTGAATCCTGAAATTTTGATAACTTTTTTTGTAAAATCACCTTTTTGAGTTATCATTTTAACGATAATATTTATTTTAACTCATTTATGATAATAACAAATCATGTTTTTTTTTGTTGTGTTACTTTTAAAGTATGGATGCGACACTATTATATTAATTATATCGGTGTAGAATTTCTCTATGATGATTCCATCAATTCGCGCAGCTGTAAATCTACGCATCTAAGAATCTGTACAAGTAATTGCGAATCGAAGAATTGATTCTACATTCGGAATTAGACTGGAAAGAAAGGTCGGACTGTTACTTCTAGCTCGTTGACCCCGTCGCTTTCTATCAAGAGACATCAACGCACAGTCACTACGTCGCCCGAATCATAAATTTTTATTACCGAACAAAATCATCGATAGATTGTGTCGTTAAAGATGTCTAGTTATGATATACACACATTGATAAATGTTTAATATTTTATCACGCACATAACGTATGCCATTAATTTAATTAATACTACGATACGCATGCGTGCATTTTTACAATTTGTAGCAATTTCGCGTAGATTATGAGCTTTTTAAATGATTTAAGAAAGGCTGATATCTTTTGAATCCTGAATTAATTTGATTTGATACCTTTTAATATACATTGTTATTGCTAAAAAAGCTTGCACGGAAAATATATGGAATATACCAGTCTCTATACTTGTCTCATATATGTATCTTATTGTTAATTGCTGCTTATTACAGTAAACGTAATTCAGAGAAGTTATTTTTCTTTTTTATCTTTCCCTCAAGGTTTTTAGTATTCTAATTATCGATTGGTTTTTTCCTAATGTATAAAAAGTTTACATTTCGAAGAAAAAAATAAAGAGAAACAAGCAATGATAATTCCTATCTTTATCTGCGACGGAAGTTTTTAATAATTAAAGATGTACCACACTTTAAAATACAATTATCATTCAAGAACTTCTGGAATGAATAGAATTTTATATTTGACGAATCGGAAATATGATGCCTTTACATCAGACAAAATAGAATGAATGAGCAGAATTTAAGCAACGTCATCGCAATTGCTTAAATCGTGATATGGCGCATGTTATCAACCTAAATACTTTCAAGTCGCTGCGTATGCGGGTAACATAACAATGACGTTTTTCTGCATCTTATGTGACTTTCGTTACTTACCGATTACTTATTCTGAAATAGAAGACAAGAAATTGGTTAAAGTATTGTATTAATATAAAAGACAAACTTACTGATCTCAATTTTTTCGTAACAGGAACTTTCCAATCGCATATCTGTAATAATTTTACATTGTCGACATCGACTTTTGATAGCTCACTATTTACCTTTTCCGCAGTGATACGCAAGATAAAAAAAATATCTCTTATATAATGTTTGTGTGTAGCAACACATTTTCAGAATACCTTTGCCTCGAACATTGAAATTAAGTCCACACGACGGCGCACGGTGATGCTTTGTACTTACGAGATACGAGATATTATCTTTGTGACAAATTTTACATATTTCGTAATATTATATATATATATATATATAAAATTTCTGAGTATTGTGTATATGATAAGCATCATGTCTCATAAGAGCGTTAAGTATCATAATGATGAAAACAGAATCATAACGTTCAAAACAAAAATTCTACAAAATTCGAGATAAAAATATAGAAAAGGTTAGTTAAAACATGATGTAAACCATTACTTTCACTATAATTTAAACTTATCTTAATAAAATAAACATTTAGGATTTATAGGTCATTTAAAACTTAAAGCTACAATTATTAGATAATATATAAATAATTATCAAAATCAAAATTTAATATTAAATATTAATTTAATTAAATAAAACAAATTTTTAATAAAACAAATTATGTATAATAAAAAAACAATTATTATTTGACAATAACAATAATATTTAAATATATAGGAAAAGAAGGAAAAGAAAATAATTTTTATAGAAGAGAAGAAATACAATAACTTTATAATTTGCAAGCTTCAAAAATCATTCACATATTTTATATACAAGTACATGTTTATTAATCATTATTATGTTATAATAAAATAATCCTAGCTTAAGATATTAGATGACTTTGATTATCACTTTCAAAAGTTCCCGAAAAAGAAAATAAACTCAAGACTCGTTAGGATGCATTACAACGATTGACAGCTTTTTTTCATGATCCATCCTGATTAATTGGCAATAATTGCAAAAAAATTAGAAGCTGCAATAAAATTAGTTACTAGCATACGCAAGAATTACTTTCCCATTCGTTGGATAGACCACTCTTGCTGACACAATGGACAACGATTGTTTTGTTTGACCCAAAGCGACATGCAGCAGTAATGAAACGAGTGGTTGCACTCGCCCCAAACGACCACGCAGTCTTGCCGGCCATAAACTTCCTTCTTACTTTCTGCCTGACACCGTAGACAGGCATCTGAAAATTTAAAAATAAACTTTGATAATTATCAGTATTTACATAAAATGTCCTCCACAACGCGGGAAGTTTGTATATCATAGTTGTATGTCATAGTTTCTTAGAAAATTTAAAGTAATTGTTTTCTTGATAAAAATATTAGATAGAAGAAAGAGAGAGAGAGAGAGAGCAGATTATCTTTTATAATAGTAAATCTTCATATTTAATATCTTTGTGATTAACACGAAAAATAATTGAAACGTATCGAAATCTAGACTGCTAATGCTACTCCAGTTTGACTGTTATAATCTTTCAATAATATATAAATTAAAGATATTTAAAAAATTATTAAACAGTACTTAAAGAAGAAAAAAAATTAAAAAATTGGAAAAAGAAATTAAAAACAAATAAAACTTTTGTACATTCTAAATTGTAGGAAATTCCTATTTTAATTCGATCTAACTTTAAAAATAATTTTTTACACGAAAATACACACACATACATACACAAAATGTAGAGAATAAGAGTTAATTTTTTTCTAATGTATTATAAATAAATTATTTAATTGCAAAATAATAATAGAATTCCAAAGGAACAATCATTCAAATAATAAATCAAATAAGTGTTTAAATTGGTTCTTGTATTTCAATTTATGTTTAAAAGAGAATACTATATCATCATAAAATATTATGAAAACGATAATTATAATGGCACACACACAAGTAGAAACGTCCGAAAGTGGTTAAAAATTAATGAGAAATATAGATAATAATTTTTAGCATAAAAGGTGATAAAACGTGTCTGCTGAAATTAGGTCGCACTTGTGAGTGATATGCTGCGTCCTCGCATACAAAAGCAATAATTGAGGAATGGTAATTTGTAACGCTTACAAGAGTGAAACAGATGAAAAATTGGAAAAATCTTGGAAAAATTACTTTAGAAAATTCTTCGACAAATTTTTTATGTAGATCATAAAATTATATAAATTTGTGCAAAGAGACATGTTGCTATTAAAAATTTAACTGCTAAACATGATAAACGCACTTTGTTCGCCACTTAAACTGTGATGATAACATTATGGCTCTTTAAGTGTACCATCATCATTTACGTTACTCTCAAATTTTGCTATATTTTCACATCTGATATACAAAAATAAAATAGAGTTTTCACTTAAAAAATTTTTTTTTATTTTATCCTTTTGCAAGCAACTTGATTTATCGAGGTAAATATAAATTTTTAAACAGATGACATATAATTATTCAATCATAAAGAAGTAAAGAAGTAAAATTTAATTATACTATACTAAAATATCGAGAATACATAAAACAGAAATTTTTTACGGAAAAATGTATGTATCATACGTTTATAATACATATATATAATATATATTTATTATTATTTATTTATTTATTCAAGCTTCTTATTTTTTACAAAAGAATTCTATAAAATGGAAGATCTTTAAGATTTTAGGAAAACATCATTTACACTACGCATTCATTTTTAATATTCTGTTATTCCTTTTTTTTCATTTTTTAAACTGAAGTTAGCATAATAAAGGAATAAAACTGTATATAGGAATAGTAATTTTTGCGCTGAACGAATAATTACGTACTTTGTAATTTGTTGCTACGTATTATGTCTTATACGTGAGGTTTTCGCATGGTATCACGTTTATCCCTTATCAAAATTGTTTCCGTGAGATGTAAACGTGCTCGTTCAGCAAAAATGCAACATAATCGCGCACAAACCAGACATTCCGTGATGAACGGAAGAATACTGGAGAACATAAAGGATAAAAAGAGACACTCTTTTTTTACTCCTCGAAATCTCAAGAATTAAAAGGACATCTATCACAATGATGCCGAAGAGATAAACGTGCAAGGTAGTGATCTGCTGTTTTCTTACTACGTAGCTAAACGTGATCCAATATTCATCAAATGTGGCTGCTTGAAAACAAATTATTCATGTTGTAGATAATAAAAATACATAAATTCAAAAATCAATATCAAATGATAAGAAAACAAATCATGAATCATTTATTTCTGCTTGTATACGCTAAATATTCGACGATAAGTATACCTAATGTATAAACAAATAGACGTGATAAAACGCAGAATGTGTGAAATGTTGATAATTTGTATACATAACATAAAGTACTGCGTTGTTCTGTTTATTTCCTATACAAGTTAAATCGAAAAACGTATCTATTATATATAAACATTAGGTAATTTTATGATTGACAAAACAATCAAGAGTTCCAACATGTTAACAATAAATAACACTAACAAATAAATAAATATATCAAGCGCTAATAATAATAAAAATTAATTATTATAATAAATGACATTATTTACCTAATATTATTTAAATAATGTTAATTAATAGTTTCTATAATTTTCAGATTTATAGAAAAATAAATTTTTTTTTATCTCATATTTATAAATTCTCTTACAAGTCTCTAAATCATATATCTACGAATACAGTTTTTAATTTTGCGAATAAATTCATAAGCTGGTATACACGTCTGTTTTTATTTAAAAATCGTCTCTGAGTAATCGTCTTAAGATGCTAATATGACTCTATTATGATATTTTAAGGCTGTATTTAAGACAGATTCTTAAATATAAGAATCAACTGTGAATATCGGCCACAAAGCTATGGATCTGTAAAAAAAGGAAAGATCCATAATCTTATTTTCTTAGAAAAATCTTGCTAATGCTTATATGAAAATATATACATTTTTTTCTAGTTTTTTAAAAAATATCATGATATAAAATTGTACATAATATAAATAGTTAAATAATAACATAATATAAAAAGTGTATTCTATTCAACACAGTATAATGCTGTAGCCTTATTTAACATATAATATTACAATATTTTATTGTATAAATTTACGATAATGAAAATTCTACGTAGTAAAACATAAAAAATTCACTGAATAAATAATTTATTAAAGATAAAAAACTGAAGAAGTTTAATATCACGAAGTTGAAAACTAGAATTTAATTTGTTATACAGTTAAGACAAAGAGAAAACAGTCAAAGGTAGTTGTTCGTATATTAATCTAATTTTCTCTCCCGACTCTTCCGATTACAAAATAATCACTCTAACTGAGAAATCTCATAACATTTGCCGTTCAAAGCGATATCGAGTATCATCTGACATTGTTCGTGCTAATACGATTTTTCAGCGTATCTGAATCGTAAAATTCCACGGATTTAGCTAACGTCTAATGTATCTAATCACGTAATTATCATGTACGATAATTATAGCATTGCTAACAATCCGATATGTCGCAAATATATAGAGAAACGCCCATCGTGACAAAATACCATTGTTCTAGACAAAATAAAGTATACACGGGACATACATAATGGAAGAAGATACTTCCACCATGCACGGGGACATAAATGCCTAACCATCCGAAGTTGCACGCATATCAGAGAAGACACAAGAAAGAATGAGAAAGCATAAGAAGTCATAAAAGGCATGATCAGACATTTGTGTCCTCGTGCATACAACAAAACATATAACACTGAATAAAATGCGTGCATTACAAATACTCGTTGAACTCATGATCGTTTTCTCTTATAGACTTCTCTTCTTATCCAGTTTTGATCGTATTTTTGTGAAATAATCTGGTTATCTCAAGATGTCTTCGCGTATGTATACACCTTTCAATATGTCAATATTTATCAAATAATATATATATCATGGAACTTCCCTAACTTCAATAATCTGTAATTCTTCATTTGCCTTTCCATGTACGTATATGACGTCGTGTATAAAAATTGTCAGTGTTAAAGTAGATTATATTGACATCTGTGCAAACGTTCTCACTGGCTGTTGTCACTGGGTGTTCGATGAGCGCTCTATCAACGCTGTTTATGTCATATTATTCTTGCTTTACACTTAATGGACGATAAAGATAGAATGACACAAATAGCGCTAATAGCGTCTCCCCGAACCCAGCCTATAATATATGTAATAAGTGCATCATATTTCTTTTTAATGCTCCGCCCTTAATGTAAGAATGGGGAGAACCTCTCTAACTTCTCACAGCCCCGCGTTGTAGAAGTCATGGAAGTTCCACTGCATATACAATCATATTAAAATATTTCTGTGCTTTTATTAAATTGCTGCATCGCACTCAGAGAAAAGATTTCTTCGATTTAAAGAAACGTTTCTTTGCTATACGGTAAAGGAAAAAATTTTTTAGATTTGTGAACGTCATTTATTTGATTTAAACATTATTTTTTTAAATCAAATAAAATTTACTTGATTTTTAAGGAAATGAAAATAAATGATATTTATAAATCAAAGAAATTTTTTCTTTAGCCGTATAGCAAAAAAACAATTCTTTAAATCGAAGAAACCTTTCTCTGGGTGCAAGAAAAAAAAAAGTTGTTTAACTTAACTAAATGCGTTTAGCTCGTAGTAATTTTTTTCTATGTATAGAGTTTCTTTAAAAAAAGAGAGAGAGAGAAAATCATGACCTACCCTTAACTTCGCATAGATTTGTTTTCTTGCGTGAGTTCGTCAAGTCAATAGTATATTTGTTTATATCAATACAACTCAATCAAGATCTCGATTGACGAGAAAGAAATTTCCGTCGTTATCTTCGCGTCTGCTGGCGCTTCATCGATTAACTCACGACGGTCGTTGCAGAGAGGATGCGACAAAGAAAGAGAGAGACAAAGAGATGTGATGCCCTTTTCTCGTTGACCCCCTCCGGGGGATCGGAGCAATATGCTGGACGCGCCCCCAGATCTAAGCAAGCCATTGGGCCAATTAATCGCGGCGAAGACGTCGGCGAGGACGATTGACATGATAAGCACGCACATATGTAATTGTTCGACTCAGGGCCGCACATACATTAAAGATGTGAATCGTCAGGGGTGGTTGGATTTTCAGATTTAAATTTTTAATGTCAAATATAATGAATTATATATTAAAAAATAGAAAGTTATTCGCTTACAGAAAATTTCAGAGGCAGTCGTTATTTTTTAATTCATTGA